TTATTTAAATATTTTAGTTATTTGAATGACGGGTTGCCTCCCGTTAAACGCTTCTTTAACGTCCGTAGCTTGACACTCACCCACTTTTTCCGTGACTTTCCGATCCGAGAGTCATAAAGTTTGACCCTTTTGACTCTCTTCTGGTGCCACCTTGTTTGATTTGCTCCTCGGTCAAGGTCCAGGATCCTTGACTCGTCCCTGCGGCTTGGTGGCAACAGGATATAGGGAGGAGACTTTGTATAGGTGGGTGGGGGCGAAAGTCTCCTCAGTAGATCCACATCATTAGCTTTGATGGTGAAATTTATTTCTTCCTTACCTTCAATAGGCTGACTATCCATTTTTGGTTTGATGATTGCGACCGTGCTTTCCCCTATGGAAGAGTCCTTAATACCTCTAACCAAAAGTTCATCCCTACTCTTTTGGCTCCAACTATCCTCTGGGCAAACCGGGTTACACCCGTCATGTAAGGAGTCAAATAAAGTTTGGTCTGAGTATACTGGTGAAGCATTATTTGCACAGGTTTCTATAGACGAAGTAGGGTTTTTCATGCACAATAATTCCTCGTCAACAGATTCCTCCTCAGACTCTTGGGTATTGGAATCTTGGGGGCAGGTAATGGGCTCTATCTCCTCCAAAACAGGTTCCTTTGGAGGTGTGTCTTCAACACAATTAAGGAGATGGTTGTTTATTGCCATAGGCAAAACTTCCTCCTCCTTCTTTTCTTGAACGAGCGTAGGTGGTTTTGAGTCAGGTCCCTCAGTTGGTTCCACCTCATGTACAAATATGCTAATTGGGACTTGGCTAGGAAGAGATTCAGGTAACAACACGACAGTAGCCCTAGCGAGAGTTGTTATGCTCTCGGGTTTCTGTGATGGTGCGGAATTAGGTGAATCTTCTAGAACCAGGACCTGTTGGTTGATGGGTTCAGGGTTGGTCTTGGGTTCAAGAGCCTCTTTTTGAACATTAGTTTCCTCCAATTGTGGATCTTGAGATTGGAGGGAGCGTTTAAGCTCAACAGCATTACAGAGATCATTGACTAATTTATCAGCTTTAGCTTCGGCTTCTAGTCTCTCTCTTTGGAAGTCATCTAGCATTTTTTGCATCATATCTGATCCTTCACATAATCTCTTTTTGAAGTCCTTTTCCTTCAGGACTGATTCAAGAAGTTTTGCTCTTTCTCGAATTGCCACCTTGTTTGCCTCAATTTGTTCTTCAGCAAACAAAGTGTAGTCACGGGAGTAGGGTGGTTCGTACACGAACCTTCAGCGAATAAAAGTTCGTCGAAATAGAAGATTTTCTGTTCTAATCTTAGGATTTCTTCGACGAGTGGATCAGGTTGATCGTCGCACATAGGCCCAAATTGGTCATATTCATATTGGTCACCATGAGGTTCATAATAATTATCCCCATCAGAATCTTGGTACGGAGAATATCCAAAGCTCCTAAATGGGGTATCATATGGGGGTTCCTCATGGCAGGGATAGTAGTCAGACCCATTGTTGACTTGGTAGTCGTCATATTATGAGTTTTGATGTGGGTGATAGGTTTGGTGGGTTTGGTACGGAGGGCGGTTGGGTGATTGGTAGTAAGAAGGCGGGCCGTAATAACCACAGGAGTTGTCCATAATAATTATTACGGGTGGTTGGTGAAAAAAAAAGAAGTGAGAAGATCGTTCTAACCAATCTTCACCCAAGCTAATTAGAAGAAATTAAACTAATGCCGTGCCACTCCCCGGCAACGGCGCCATTTGACAATTGTAGTTTTTCGGGTAGTAAACCTTCCCAACAAAGGGTGTAACACCCTGAAATTAGGCCTAAAAGAATTAATTAATTTAAATATTAATTAATGGCTGAGACAGACCCGAACACTGAAAAATAAAATTTTTCAGAAAAATATTTTAATTATATCAAAATTCCAGTTTTGACAGTCTGATTCCAAAAACGCGACCCGTTTTCAAAACAGAACAGTTTGGGCGAAAAAGCTCGTACTGTTTTAGCCAGTTTATCAGTTACGGAGTAGGAGAATATATTTGATTCCCCAAACCCTCCAAATCACGTAGAGACACTTCTCCCCATCTCTTCCAATCCCCAATCAAACCACATTAGGACCCCACCACCACATCCCTCCAATTTATCTTCCCTATATTATTACCCTACCACCACCACCATCATCCTCACACATTACCACCATCATCCATCCATCATTCATTCCATCACCATCCTCTCCCTCTCTCGGCAGAAACTCAGGAGGAAGAATACCCAAAAAAAAATATTCCATTGTTGAGCCAAGGAAGAAGAAGGAGAAACAAGAAGAGGTGTCAAGGTTCCCAAATCTTAAGCTCAAAAACGCAGCATCAACTTCTTCGTAAATTTTGAACTTCCGGAGGTTATTTCCAGGAAGATTGAACGTCGGAAGCTCGAAGTTGATAGGGGCGACCGTACGTTGAACGTTTGTTGAGGCGTATTATTATCTTTCTATCTTTCCGACCTCTACGTTATCAAGGCGAGTACATTGCACCTTAGTAACGCAATCCTTTGTTGAATATCAATCTAGATATATCATTAGAATTGATTGTCATAGTATAAGTCATCTATGTTTTAAGATCGAACTTATCAAACTCATAACGTTGAAAATATGTTTTTCGTAATAATCTTCCTTACATGAATATATATAAGTGTTAGGATTTCTTCAAAATCATAGACATGTTAATCATAAATGTTAAAATAGCTCAAAGAAGCATTTTAGATATCCAAAAATATCAAAAATAGGATTTGCAGACCCAAACGGTCGACGTAAACGGTCAACCGTTGCTTTAAAAATCGAAACGGAACAAGACTGTCAGACAAACGGTCGACCGCCAGTGGTCAACGGTCGACCGTCGCCTGCCCAGCAAAGTGCCGCCGTCCACCTCCAGTCAACCACGGTCGACCGCCGGTCGACCGCAGTCGACCGTCACGGTGATTCCCCAACCTGACGCGATGAAGTTTAAGGTCGACTGTCGCGCCTAACGGTCGACCGTTCCGAGCCCCGTAGCTTAAATAAATGATATTTTTATCAAATTTCATCCAAATAAAATAAAGTTTATTTATCCAATCATGTTGTTTACAAATTGTTCATATCATGTGATTCATTTCATCATCCATATTGAAACATATCACATCATGTGCATGCGCAAGAGATCAGGCGGAAGTGCGTCTCTTGTAGCGTGATGTGCGGGACTTATTAGTCCGACATCACCCGTTCCGGGCTTAGTGAAGGACTTTTCTCGAATCGCTGGATATTATCGTCGCTTCGTGAAGGACTTTTCTCGAATCGCCACACCACTTCATAAACTGATGAAGAAGGATGTCAAGTTCGCTTGGACAGAAGGTTGTCAGAAAAGCTTCAAACAGTTGAAAGAATGTTTGACTCAGGCACCTGTGTTAGTCCAACCAACACCTGGTACTGAATACACAGTTTTCAGCGACGCATCACATCAGGGACTTGGGTGTGTACTGATGCAGGAAGGCAAGGTCGTAGCTTATGCATCACGACAGTTGAAGCTCCATGAATGCAATTATCCGACTCATGATTTGGAGCTAGCAGCTGTTGTTCTTGCTTTGAAGATCTGGAGACACTACTTATACGGCGAGACGACTCGCATATTCACCGACCACAAGAGCCTACAGT